GTCTCTCCTGCCCGGGCTGGCTTTGAACCGAGATCCTCAGATCTCAGCCTCCTGAGTAGCTAGGATTACAGGCGTGAGCCACCAGCGCCCGGCTTGTTTTGTTTTTTTTTTTTTAATTGGAGTTAAGAGTCTCACAGACTTTCCTGCCCAGGCTGGCTTTGAACTGCAGTCCTCAGATGTCAGCCTCCTGAGTATTTAGGATTACAGGCGTGAGCCACCAGACCTGGCTGCAAGTTCCTTTGGTGGTTAATTGGAGGCAAATGTCTCTTGGAATTGTCTGCCTGGGGTTGGCTTTGAACTGTGATCCTCAGATCTCATGAACCACCCGGCGCTGAGCTTGGGCATTTCTCTTTTCTGGCATGCTGGATGCACCGGAAGCTGCAGCAGCTATGAGCAGGGTGACACTGTACCCCACTGGGAGGCAGGAAGAAGGGGCGAGGGGGTGAGGCTATGGAGCAATCAGGACCCTTGACCATCAGGAGAGCGATGTGGTAGAGCCACCATGAGACCAGTCACTGTGTGAACCCACAGTTCCACTCCACACTGCACCCCAGATCATACAGAACCTATGCAGCGTTCCAAGACCAGAAGGTGGGCCCTGCCTATTCTCTGCGGGTCTATGAATGGACCCAGGAAGTCCGGCTGCACGATGTGTGGTCCAGCCACAGCCAGGAATGGGAGGAGGTGGCGACCCATTCTATAACACAGAGAGACCCGGAGTCTACCTGCTCTGTGAGAAACGCAGATACACAAGGCCCATGGATAGAACAAGACCAGGACAGACAAATCCACGGCCGGTAACTTGAACCGGGGTCCAGGATGGGCCATCTGCCACCGATGCCGGTGCCTCTGTGTGTAGGGAACCTGGGTGGTGACCACAGGATTTCCGACTTGAGCTCGGGCTCTTTGAGGGCAGGTGGGGACCATGGAGGTGGGGCTGTGGGAGGGGTGGCCTCATACCTTTGGTCTCGTCCTCGTAGACCTTGATTCCCTGCGGGAGGGGATCCCGGGGGAGCAGCGTGGTGCTGGACAGCACCTTCGTCTCCCCAGTCACCTTGTCCTTCTCCACTGTGATCTCGACTGAGTACATAGCTAACACAAGAGGCACGGGGTTAACCCCGAAGCCTGCCCCCCCCCACCGCCCTTCACCCGCAGGATGACCCCTCCTACCCTGCTAGGCAGCGGCCAAGCCAGGGGTGGGGGAAGATGGCAGGTGGGAGGGGCCAGCAGCACGGAGCCAAGCGGAGATGAAGCAGCCTCATTCAGGATACTAGGTGACCCCCTGCGGACCTGGTCCTCCTTAACTCCACAACCTCCCGTGGCTCTTTGGCTCTGAGCTCCAAGAGTATCACTACCGTCCAGGACCTGACTCTAATCAAGCCATCACGCACAGCCCTGGACCCAGGACTCCTGAGAGCAGGAAAAAGAGGCCAAAAGACCACAGTGACCCCCTCGCACCTCGACCGGACAGCGCTTCCAGAACCCACCCCCTGGCCCGGCATCCTTCCACGGCACCAATAACTCTGTCTTCAGTTGGCTGCCTGGCCTTCCTGGTCACCTGGTTCGCCTCCTCTCTCGTCCCCGAGCTCAGCTGCGCTGCCCTGGGAATTTCCTTCAAGTCCTGGCTTTAACCTCTTTAAACAATGCCCAGTGTCCTTCATGAAGACCTCGCCCTGAACACGGTCAGATCTGCTACGTATCTCCCACCACAGTCCCAGATTCTCCCAGGGCTGATGGCTCACGCCTGCAATCCCAGCTACTCCGGAGGCTGAGATTTGAGGATCAGGGTTCCAAAAAGGAGACTTTTATCTCTAACTACCATACACACACACACACACACACACACACACACAGAAGTAGAGCTGTGCCTCAAGTGGTAGAGCACAATCCTTGAGTGAAAATAGCCCAGGGACAGGGCCCCAGGCCCTGAGTTCAAGTCCCAGGAGCAGCATAAATGTAACATGTGCACACGTGTGTGCATGCACACACACACAGTTCCAAACTCTCCCTGTTCAACACTTCGACCTGCTCCACCTGCACCGCCTGCAGCCTCCACCTTCAGCAATGGAGCTGTGCGCTGCTGGCACCCCTCAGCCCCCAGCCCCTACCATGGTTCCCCAGCACCAGCAGCTCTATCCAGCATCTCCAGCCCCAGTGCAACGCCCCCCCACCCTCCTGCTGTGCTCCCCGTGGCCACCAGAGGGCGCCCGAGCATGCAGTCAGGAGGGTCCCTGCTCTGCGCCCCTGGAGCCCTCCATGGCTTTCGCCTCCTGCTGGTCAAAGCCCAAGTCCTCCCTGTGGCTTGAAAAGTGTTTCTCAAAACTCCACACCCTCTCTGCTTTAGCTCTGTAAATTGCTCATAGCCAGCCAGTCACCCCAGCAGAATATTGGTTGCCCCAGGCTACCATCCTTCATGCCTGGCACCCGTAGCAAGCACTCAGGGAAGTCTTTCTTGACTAATTGATTTAATCCCTTTGATCTAATCCCACCTCCCCCTTGTTCCTGGACACCTGTGCCCAAGGCTGCCCATACAGCTGTGCAGGCTGTGCATTGTGCTTGGGTGCTACCCCTTGCTACCCCTGGCTCTTGATACATGCTGGTTACTATTTTCCCTTTTCTTCCTTGTTTCTGGGCTTGCTCAATTCAAGTGAGCAATCTGTCATTTCTCAGGAGTCACAGGCACCATCGGGTTCGTTTGCTGCTGGGCCCGCTGTGGGGTCCCTACAGCATTACCTCTCTGCTTTTGGGGAAACCCAAGGTGTCAGGTATCACAGGGCAGGGAAAGGACTTGAGGCTGGCCTCGTTCATGCTTGGCGTGAGCTGGCCTTCTGTTTCCTTGTGTGCGATGCGGCTGCCAGGGAGCCTAGCAGTTACTAGTCTCTCCGCGCGCCCCCTCCTTCCCCGCGCCCCCGGCAGGCAGGAGCAGGGGGAGCGTGGGGAGGCTGGAAGGGTGTGCCAGCCCAGGCCCTGGGCGGGGGTGGGGGGAGCTGCCATGTTAGGGGAATGGAAGGCATTGGCTGTGGGCTGGGTTAGAACTGCCATGCTGGGCCCGTCTTCTCAGGGGAAGCTTGGGCCAGTGATGTGTGGCAAGATTGCAAAGCAGAAATGTGTCACGACCACCCCAGGCTGGGGATGGTGCCCTGGTTCAGCCACCACCTCGGTACCACAGTCCCTACTAGGCTGTGCTCCGAGCAGCAGGCCTACATCACCTCCCACCCGAGTCATGAGATAAGGAACGAGGTCCCGGATGGTGGCTGGAGCCAGGACGCGGGCCTGGGATCCGACCTACCTGCCTTCATCATGGGGGAGCTTCCGGCCACCCTCCCTGGGGTGTTTGAAGCTTGCTGTTCTGCAGGGGAAGATAGAGAGGGGAGAGAAGGGTTGAGCAAGAAGGCCTTGCTATGGTGGTGGTTGTTTTTCTCGTTTTGGTGCCAGTCCTGGGGTTTGAACCCAGGGCTGTCCCTGAGCATTTTGCTCAAGGCTGGTGCTCTATCACTCGAGTCACAGCTCCAATTGGAGATAAAGGTCTCAGAGACTTTCTTGCCCAGGCTGGCTTTGAATCATGAGCCTCAGATCCTGAGTAGCGGTGATTATAGGCATGAGCCGCCAGCTTTCCCATCTATTTGTTTTTGTGTACTAAGGTTGAACTCAGGGTCTTATACTCTTGCTTGGCTTTTTTCCACTCAAGGCTGGGGCTCTACCATTTGAATCATGCCTCCATTTCCAACTTTTTGCTGGTGAATTGAAGAGTCTTTTGAATTTATCTGCCCAGGCTGGCTTTAAGTCGCAATTCTCATATCTCCTTCTGATAGCTAGTAGTATAGTCTTGAGCCACTGGCACCCAGCAAGAGACAAGGCCTTGTGCCTTCACCCCTAAACTCTAGCCCTCATGCCCCTAGACCACGCCCTCCCCTGCCCCCTACACCAAAACACCAAGACACTGCCCCTTCCCACAAAACAGACACATTCTATCCCACACTGTGATGTTCACTTTTTAGCCCAAGTGATTTTTCACAAAATCCCTGAGAGACCTGTGTGGATGTGTTTAATTATTAATTTTTTATTCTACAGTAAGACAAGGAGACACTCACCTTATGAATAATTAACACAACAAATCAGGCTATAGATGCTGCAGGCCACTGTGCCGGTTTGTTCTCTGAGCTCCAGCCCAGGACCACCAAGCACACATACATGATTTATGGTGTATTTTCCAGTGCTGGGCTCAAATTCAAGGTCTCTACAGCCTTTGTATTTATGTATGTATCTATATAATTATAATTATATATGTATTTAGATTTATATATGTTTTTCTTTTTTTTGGTGCAAGTACTGGGACTTGAACTCAGAGCCTCACATTCAAGCTTAGCTTTTTTTTTTGTCTGTTGTGGGGTTTGAACTCAGGTCTTAGGTGCCGCTGTCTCTGAGCTCTTTGCTCAAGGCTAGTGCTCTACCACTTTGAGCTGCAGGCCCATTTCTGGTTTTTAGGTGTTTTATTGGAGATAAGAGTCTCACAGCCGTTCCTGCTCAGGCTGGCTTCAAATCGTGATGCTTCGAGCTCAGCCTCCTGAGTCACTAGAATTACAGGGTTACCACCAGGAACCTTTTTGAGCCCAGCCTTGTCTCAATCTGGCAACTCCACCCCAGGGATCTTGTGAAAATGCAACACACACACACATCGGGATACTCTGGGCCCGAATCAGGGCTCCGGTAGAATAATAGAATTAGTCAGGCGTGGTCTGCTGCTTCTCTTCTATTTATACAACAATAACTGCTTTCAGGCTTCCACCCACATGCAATCCCTGCCATGGCCACCAGAGGGCACCTGAGCCCGCCATTTTCCCTAGAAGCCTTACCTTTGGGAGTGCCCACTGGGGTCTGCAAGAGAAAACAAGAGAGGTCAGGAATGCTGGGGCCTCAACTGACCTCCTTCTCATCCTATCCTGTTCCTGAAACCTGAACTTAGGGCCTGTGCGCTGTCCCTCAGCTCTTTTGCTTAAGTGCTCTACTACCTTGAGCCACAGCACCACGTCCAATTTTCTGGTGGCTAATTGGAGATGAATCTCATGGACTTTCCCGCCCCGGCTGACTTCAAACTGTGATCCTCAGATCTCAGTCTCCTGGGTAGCTGAGATTACACATGTGAACCACTGGTATCGGGCCATCCTCTTTTGGGGTTCAGATCTTTTTTGGGGGGAGGGGGTCCGAACTCTGGGCCTGGGCGCTGTCCCTCAGCTCTTCAGCTCAAGGCTAGCGCTCTACCACTTGAGCCACAGTGCCACTTCCTGCTTTTTCTGCTTATGTGGTGCTGAGGAACAGAACCCAGGGCCTCATGCATGCAAGGCAAGCGCTCTACTGCTGAGCCACCCTCCCAGCCCCGGGGTTCAGATCTTGCCCCTTTATTGGCAAGGCCTTCAGGTTATGCTGGGTCCAGCTCCCTCTCTATCTCCCCTCCATGGTCAGACTTGTCCACAGCCACCCCAGTGCCCCTGCCAGGTTAGTGCAGCAGCTTCTTGCTCTTTCTCTAACATAGTCCTGCCTCAATGGACCATCCTGTGTGTGTGGGTCCCCTCCATTTGGAACAAAAGCTTCCTGTTTCTCTAGGTCAAAGTGCATACCGCCACTGGGGTCTCGGCCTGTGCTGGGCACCCCGTTCCTTACCTGCTGGGAATTCATCACCACTTCTGTTTTGCTGTCCCGGGCTGGGCTTGGGGCTGAGGTGGGAGTCCGGGCCGGGCTGGGGGCTGTGGTGGCATTCTCCTGGGGGGCAGCAGGGACTGACACCCCATTTTCCAGCATGTCTATCTCCTTCTCCAACCTGCAAAGAGGCAGGTGTGAGGCACAGGCCACTTTCGACCCCCTGCGGCTTGCTGGATCTAACGTTTCCTAATGACCCCGCATAGTCTTCTCATATGGCTTCACAAGTGGGGAAACTGAGGCATGGCATGGCGTGATCGTTCAGCCAGCGAGCAGGGCAGCAGCACTGGCACCACAGCTGACTCTGCTCAGTCCTGTCATCATTTATTCCAAATGAGCTCTGCTGTTTTCCCCCTTCAAATTCATTTCCTTTTCACAGGAAATGTTATCTCTCTGGGGACCATGGAAAAAAAGGGTCACTTTCCAAGTTACAGAAGGTAATGGGAGGTGTGGCTCAAGAGGTGGAACAAGCTGAAAAGCTCTAAATTCAAACCCCAGTACTGACAGGAAAAAAAAAAAAAAAGCACAAACAAATCCAGGAAAACAAAGAGGGCTGGGTTGGAGGGACTCCTGGAAGTTCAGCCCCTCCCCAGGACAGCCTCAGCAGAACTACCCGACCCATCCCCAGCCTGGATTGGCCGAGATCTTTAGAGGGCGGGATGATTGTGGAGCTGCATGGGCAGAGGCAGAGAGCAGGTGAACCTGCAGGGAGTGCCCACCCCAAATCTGTTCAGATTGGGGATGTCTCCAGAGCTCACCCCCTCCTCCCACCCCCTCTAGAACCTTCTGTGACCTCTCACGTCTTCCTGGGGCCACCTCTCAGTCCCCATGCTCTGGGCCCCTTCCTTGGCTTGAGCCGACACTTGGAATTTCGGTCATTTCCCTCCGCCCTGACCCTACTGCTCCCAGCTGGCCCTGGGCCTCTGTCTGCTGGAAACTGGTGTTTTGTCCCAGCCCCCATCCTGCCCCTTCCCCTGTTTCCTGTAGGCCTGGCCGTCACGGTGGCCTCTGCCAGCACCAGTGGAGGACTGGCCAGCTGGGCTGGCGCCAGGAAGCCCCCCCCCCCGGGACACCAATGGCGGCAACTCCCATCCTCTGGGACCCTGGATCTGCCCTGACTTCAAATGACTCTTAACACCTGCTCTAACAACACTGAGACAGCTCAGAGTCAGTGAGGCAGCCTCTGTCCACAGCCCAGCCCAGCCTGTGAGTCCTTCATCAAAGCCATCACCCCCAAAGCAGTCTATCTGGGAGCCACACCTGAACCAGCCACTATGTCCTGGAACACATTATCTTCGTCCCCCACCATGAGGGACCCTGGCCCTTCCATCTGGGGCTTCTACTGAATCTGTGTGTACCCGGGCTCCCTCTGTGTGTGAGTCTAGCTGGGTTCCTGTGTGAGCTCACCTGCAGATGGACTCTTCCAGAAGCCGGGCCTTCTGCTCATCCTCCTGCATCTGCTTCCTCATGTCCTCATCACCTTCTGAAGCTGAGGATGGCGTCCCCTCTAGCAGCCAGCGTTCCCGCAGTGCCTTGGACTGCAGGGGCAGACATGAGGGTCAGACTCAAGTTATAGTCAGTATGGGGATCAATCAGGGTCCTGCTTGTGGTCAGAGTCAAAATCAGGGTTAGGGTAAAGGTCAGACTGTGGCTCATGCTTTGGCCAGAGGTCGTGTGTGTGTGTGTGTGTGTGTGTGTGTGTGTATGTGTGTGTGTGTGTGTACACATGGCACCAGTATTGGTGCTTGAATTCAGGACCTGGGTGATCTCCTTGAGTTGTTTTGCTCAAGACTAGCGCTCTACCACTTGAGTCACTTCCATGGCTTTAGTTTTGATAGTTAATTGGTGATAAGAGTCTTACGGGCTTTCCTGTCCTAGCTGACTTCAAGCCATGATCCTCAGATCTCAGCCTCTCAGCCTCCTGAGTAGCTAGGATTATAGGAGTGAGCCACAGGTGCCAGGCAGGGCTGAGGTCTTGATGAAGGCCAGGGTCAGGATCAATCAACATCATCATGGCCAAGGAGCAGAGTCAAAGTCAAAGGCTAGGTCTGGGTCAAAGTGAGGACCTTTGTGGTTGGAATCAAGGTCCAGAACTGGATCAGGATTGTGAACCACACCATGGTCAGGGTCAAGCAGGATCAGGGGCATCAGGGTGGGATCAGGATCAACATTGGAGTCAGGTTCAGGGTTGGGGCCGGAATTAGGGTGCTGATCTCCTTATTCCTCAGTTCCTCACGGTCTATAGAGACCGCACAGCGCCCATGTAGACCTCACCAGGCAGGCCCCGCCCTCATAGATACGCCTACCTCAGCCAAGGTCACACCCACCAGCCCCCACCCATACAGACCACGCCCACCGGGACAGCCTGTACCAGCCACACCCCCTGCAGGCCACACCCTCAAGACTCTGTCCATTCAAGTCCCGCCCTGCTCCATGCAGGCTCCACCCACAAGAACCTGCCACACAGGCCACGCCCACACAATACGAGTCACGCCCCAAGACAAGCCTCCCAGGCCCCACCCCATGCCGGGACCACGCCCACAGCGCCTCCTTGCAGCCCCGCCCCTGGACCCGCCCACCCGGGAGCGCCACGCCCCCTACCTTCAGGTGCTGCAGCTGCCGCCGGTCATCCTCCAGCTGCCGGCGCCGGCTCTCAATCTCCGCCTGCCTCCTCCGCTTCTCCTGGGGGGCCGCGGGCAGGGTCAGCATGGAGAGCCGGCCGGCCCGCCATGCCCGCCTCCCCCGAGACCCCCGCGTTCCCTGAGTGAGCCCCAGCTTCGTGATGATCGGCCGGGGGCAGGGTCTGCCCAACGCCAGCCTCAGTTTCCCCACCTGTACACCATACGGAGGTAGGGAACGGCCACGCCCTGGTTCTGTGCCCCAGACTGGACGTGGGGAACCCAGAGACCCCACTCCCTCCCCCAATCTCTACCCCCAGACCCTCCTGCCCACAGGACAGCGGTAACTTACTGCGATGGCCTGGAGCCGCTCCTGCTGGAATGCAGTGTCTGCCGCCAGGACCCTGGAGACAGGAGACCGAGGGCCACCTCAGCCAGACCCCCGGAAGGTGACCCCGGGCTAGGGCTCACCTCCGACACCCTTATCCATTAATTCCCTCAGCAAAACCTCTTGCAGCACCCTGGTGGCACGCCCCCCTGGCAAAGCACAGGGCCAAGGGAGAGAGGCACAGTCCAGGGAACAGGGCAGGAGGAGGGGAGGAGGAGAGGAACGTTCGGGAAGGTGGGGGAAGAGGGTAATTGAGGTTGGGCCTGGAGGGATGCATAGGAGCTCAGCAGGTTTCCCAGGCCCTTCCACACACTCCCACCTAACAAGAGGGCAGAGGGCCCATCAGACTCCATCCAACTGTGGGCTTTCATAGTCAAATGGACCATTCTAGGACTTCTAGCACTTTCCACCCTGGCCTTCCCAGCAGCCTAAAGAGCCCAGAGAGGATGCTCTTGCCCATTGTCTTTTCCCAGTTGGCCCAGTGAGGTGGGTTTTGGGGTGTGTGTGTGTGTGTGTGTGTACTGAGGCTTGAGTTCAGTGCTCACAGCTGGCGCTCTACCACGTCAGCCATGCCCCAGTTCCAGCTTTTTTTTTTTTTTTTGCTAGTTATCTTGGATTTGTGCACTGGGGCTGCCTCTGAAGCTCGATCCTCAGAACGCAGCCTCCTGGAGTAGCTAGGATTACAGGGGTGATCCACCGGTGCTGGGCCACCCAGTGAGGTTTGAGCCTTACTCCAAGGGCTGATTGATATACAGCAGGAGGTTAATAAAGCAGCGAAGAATCCCTCACTCTCTCCCAGGCCCGGGTGGGCTTCGGAGCTCCTACTTACTGAGGCGAACTGTGCATCCAATGCGGGTGATCTACCTTCCATTCCCCCCCCTGCTGGCCACGCCCCAGTGCTGGCCCCGCCCCACCCAGTGGGTGGGGCTTTGACTCAGGCCCCTCCCTCCCATCACTAGGGCTTGTCAAAGGTTCCAAAGCCCCTGTGAGCAAGAGCTCAGTTAAAGGCTGTGACTGGAATTTGGGTGTGTTCCTAGGACACAGGCAGGATCGAGTGTGGGGTGGTTCCAGGCTGTGTGTGTGTGTGTGTGTGTGTGTGTGTGTGTGTGTATGTGTGTGTATTGGGGGTAGTTTCCAGTCCTCTGCCGTGTGTGTGTGTGTGTGTGTGTGTGTTGGGGGTAGTTTCCAGTCCTCTGCCGTGTGTGTGTGTGTGTGTGTGTGTGTGTGTGTGTGTGTGTGTGTTGGGGGTAGTTTCCAGTCCTCTGCCCCAAATCCCAAATGATCCCAGGGCCAGCTGGCTGCTCAAGGCAGCGCCCATGGGCAGGAGGCCCAGGCAAATGGGGGGGCAGGGCCTGGTGGCCCCAACTAGTCCGCCTCTCCTCCCTCCCCTCCCCTGGCCTCTCCTCTTTAACCTCCCTCCCCCAGGCTCCCCTCCCCAAGCCTTCCCCCCACCCCCAGCCAGCCCACACTGTCCCAGCCCAAGCCCTTCCCACTTCTCCTCCCCACCCTGGTCCCTTATCTTGGAAGGGACTGAAATTACAGACTGTCCTTTACTTCTCTTGCCACCCCGACACCCCCTGTCCTTGTTATCAGGGCCTGGAGTCACCCAGGGGGACTCAGGAAGGCCCCTCACACCTCTCTGGGTCTTAGTTTCCCCATCTGTAAGTGGAGGGGCCCCAGACACCCCCAGCTTTCCGTCACACAGAGCCCCCCTTCCCCCAGTCGAAGAGGCTGCTCTGGGTTGGATCAAGACACTCTGAGCCCACAGGTTCCATTTCCTGGCCCCACTGAGACCTGTGAAGCTGCCAGGCTCCCACGCCCTGCAGGTGACCCCCAGTGGTCCCTCCCTTCCTGACTGGCCACACAGCTCCGATTGGGGTGCCTCCCAGGGCCCCACCCCCTAGCAGGACCACACCCTCTGTGGCTTCCCCTTCTCTCCCAGAGTGAGGTTGGGTTCAGCTGGGTGGGGCTCAGGAGAGGCTTGATCAAGCTTTCTGGCATGGGGGCCCCTGCCACAAGGACCAGCTCAACTGGGACTTCAGGGTCTGCCCAGTGGCACTGTACTCACCCACCCTTCATTCCCGCTGGCCTCCTTTTCCCCAGCTTTAATCCGGGCTCCCAAATCCTCTACCACCTCCCTGGACCCTGACAGCCCTCTCTCTGTACCCCACAACCAGAGAGACAGCTTCTTAAAACAAGAATCATATCCTGACTCTAACCATTGCTACTCACACCTTGGAAGAAACCATCAGGCTGGAGTACCAGCCAGGATCTTTGCTTGGCAGCTTGCTCTAACCACCAGGATCTATGTCTAGATACCCAGTTCTCTCCTACCCCAGGCCCTTTGCACTTGCTGTTTCCCTTGTCTGTTAGTTCTTCTCAGGGCTGATCACTAAGTCCATAGAGGGCAAGACTAGGAAGTGGCAGAGCTGGACTCAACTCAAGCCATTACTGCCCAGATGGGATCCACTAGAGACCCACCCAGGATGTTGGCAAAGCTGGATCACAGGGTCCACACAGCAGCGAAGACCTCGGGGCACAGGGGACCATGACTGGACCCTGCTCCCACCCCAGTGGTCAGGTGACTATTCAGGACCAACCCAGGGACACAGGGATGTCTGTGCGGCTGGCTCGCCCGCCTGGAGACAAGGCGGCAGTGTCCACTTGAACAGCCTGTCCCGAGCCAGGGGCAGGGGAAGGTCAGGCGGGCAGAACAAGCAGAGAGGCACTGGGACGATGCTGCCAGCGAGGCTGGGCAAGAGGAACTGTCCCCACCGCGTGGGTCACAGATGGAGGGGGTGCAGGCTAGGCCACCACCCTGGGGGGGGGGGAGAGGCGGGGAGCCAGAGCCGCTGCCCCGCCCCCCTCCCAGCGCTGCCGCCGCCACCGCCACCGCCTGATGGATGGCGGCCCGCGGGAGTCGGTCGCCTTGGCAACCGCGCTGTCCCCATGGCAACGCGAGGCCCACACAGGGGTGGGGCCTGTGCTCAGCGGCTCCCACCCCCAGACGGTGGTGCCTGGAGGGGGGGGGTGCTGCTAGGCTTCCTGCTTGTCCTAGGGGGACTGCCTAGAGGGTGGGCCGGGGCGGAGGGGTTCAGTCTTGCTTCCCCCAGAGGACACTTTAATATTCAGGGGTTCCTGGTCTGTCCGATGAGCACAGCCAAGAAGAATCTTAAGACTAAAGGATGAGCAACTTCTTTTTTTTTTTCTTTTTGCCAGTGTTGGGGCTTGAACTCAGGGCCTGGGCGCTGTCCCTGAGCTTCTTTTGCTCAAGGCTTGAGCCACAGCACCATTTCTGGCTTTTTCTGTATATGTGGTGCTGAGGAATCGAACCCAGGGCTTCACGCATGCTAGGCCAGCACCCTACCACGGAGCCACCTTCCCAGCCCTAAGGCTTTGCAACTTCTTGAACCCACATCATAAAGCAAAACACAGCCAACACTAAGAAGACAGCCATGAGGTGAAACAAAGGAAACGGGGTGGCCTTCACTGCTCCATTTCCAACAACCCTTCATCAGTGGGGAAACTGAGTCCACTGGGAGAGCAATTCATACGCTGTGGCAGTGTTAGGAAGCACCAGAACTTATTGTCACCGTCCTATTCAAAGGAGAGCAGAAACACAGTGGAGCCTTTCAAGCGCCCAGTCTCAGCCTCCACTGGGCCAGGCAGGGGTGTGGCACCGGCTGAGCAGTAGAAACAGAGGCCGCATCACCAAAGATCTTAGGTGGAGCCCAGTGCAGGTGGCTCAGCCTGTCAACCTTGTTATTCAGGTCACTGACATTTGAGGATCACAGTTCAATGCCAGCCAGGAAGGAAAGTCTGTGAGACTCTTATTTCTAATTAACTACCAAAAAGCTGGAATTGGAGCTGTGGCTCAAGTGGCAGAGCACCAGTCTTAAACCAAAAAATGCTCAGGGACAGCACCCAGACTCTGACTTCAAGCCCAGGTGTGGGAATACATGCCCTCCCCCCACCCCACCCCCAAATCCTGGGGCTTGAACTCAGGGCCCAGCAACTGTCCCTGAGCCTCTCTGTGCTCAAGGCTAGCACTCTACCACCTGAGCCATAGCGCCACTTCTAGTTTTCTATGTATGTGGTAAAAAGGACTTGAACCCAGAGCTTCATGCATGCTAGGCAAGCACTTTACCACTAAACCACATTCCTAGCCCATGGGCACACATTAAAACAACAACATACACACACACAAACACAGCACACACACTATGTTGAAACTGAACTATACAACTGTGGGTAAGGGATGGGATGGAAACACTGGGAGAGAGTGAGAGAAAGGGTGACACTGTCCAAAAAGAAATGTACTCTTGGGCTGGGAAGGTGGCTCAGTGGTAGAGCGCTTGCCTTGCATGCCTGAGGCCCTGGGTTCCATTCCTCAGCAACACATAAGCAAAATGAAAAAAGCCGGAAGTGGGGCTATGGCTCAAGTGGTAGAGCGCTAGCCTTGAGCTGAAGAGCTGAGGGACAGCGCCCAGGCCCAGAGTTCAGGCCCCACGACCAGACCTCCCCCCCAAAAAAGAAATGTACTCTTTATCGGACTTATGTAACTGTAACCCCTCTGTACAACACCTTTATAAGTACAATAAAAAATGAAAAGCAAACAGATCTCAGGTGCAGATGGAGAGGTGGGGTTTTGTGCGGCCTCAGGACACTGCCATCTCTGAAAGGTAGGCACCACCAGCTTTGAGCTGCCCACCCACAGTGTGCAGCGCAGCGCGGGCGTCCCGGCCCTGCATGTGTGTGTGTGCATGCGTGCGTGTGTGTACGCCTGCGCGCGCACGATTATTTTTACAATACTCTGGAGCAAAAAAATCTGTGCCGGGATGCTGCCATGTGGGCGGCTCAGACCTGGGCAGGGCGTCGTCTGCAAGCGCGTGAGATAATCCTCGCTTGAGCAGCAGATGAGCTAATGGGACCCAAGCCCAGAGCCAGACGCAGCCCAACGAGGCCTCCGCGCGCGCGGTGCTTTGCAGGCTTTATTTTCTTTCTTTCTAAAAGGTC